TTGTCCCATAAGCAGAGCTTAAGTCTTTATTATAAAGGATGTAATTCAGCCCAAATTTCTCATAACGCGAAGTGTTTTATGAGTCGAGCACGAATTACAATAGGAAAAGATTAGCTCAGTTAATTACAATGAGAGAAAGAACTTAGGTATTAGTCAAGTTTATTCAATCTCATGCTCTCACTTTGCAAGGCTAGGAGTGAATGCTAGCCTGTGCCAAAATCAGCGTATTCATACACAGATTTTCCCGCCTATTTTCGCAGGACAGCTCTTTTCGACTTGTTTACGCAATTTTGAGAAATGAATTTTCTAAATTTTTTCAAAAAGTGAATAAACAGTAATACTGAAATTTTAAAACATGTAAACTTTACAAAATTAGTTATTGATCATTTTAGTATGATTTATAATTGTCCCAAATAGTATCGACAAAAGTTATTAACTAATAAAGTTAATTAACCTGTTAACCGAGCGGGACGTATAAATACGTCAAAAGTAAACAATATCAGGTACGGGTAGGACATATGAATACGTCCTCGATATTTATATTGCGCCCTGGAACGGGCGGGACGTAGATTTTACTACTACTATGGTAATACGTCATTCATACACGTCCTAGTGGAAAAGGACGCGCCCGTTATATGTTGCGTAATTAGAAAAGGGTTTCCCCGGTTAACAGGTTAATGTAATAGCACAATATTTACAATAAAACAATAATTAAATTTTACATAAATTAATAGTTTATCTATTGTAGAATTAATTTCTAAAAAGAAATACTCAAATTAGTTAATAACATTTGAATTATAATAAATTTTCATATTTGTAACGGTTTTTTCTAAAATCTTATAATGTAATTCCTAGATTAATTAATTAAGATTAATAAATTATAAAGCTGTCATTATTATGTACAAAATTAACGCTTTCGATCTATATACAACTTTATGTTTAAATAAATTATTAATCATTTATTTATTGATAACAGTAATAATTAAACTGTTATCAATGAAACCAATTCTTACTCATGTTTCTAAGATATTCATTATGAATTTAGAGTATCCGCATTTTTCTGATAATAAATATTTATAATGTAATAAACAAATTAACTTTGCATATTAAAATTCAATATAATTTAATAATTAAACGCAATTAAAATTATTATAATCTAAATCTATGTTCTAAAATCTATATAAAAAATGCTTTGTTTCATCAAAATTACTATTAATTAACATATTTTAATCAAATAACAAAAACTATTATATCTATATCTATAAGTATGTGACGTCACTCTCCTTATATGGTCATGAAATTTGACTCTGGTACTAAGACAATCAAATAGTATATGAGGCGGCGCCGTTTAATATGCTAATTGATATAAACAGATTAATGAGTTTAGCGGGTTTCAGTGATTCAGTGAGTTAAAAAAATAGCTCATAGATAAGTAAAATTAATTCCAATTTTGAGAGCCAACCCGTTGTAAAAATAAATCAAACACTCATATTAGGTTACACACGTATGTTTCGTTGGCAGATATCCAACCTCATCAGATCTCTATTAACAATAAATGAAAAAATGGTTACAAAAACAAATATATATAAAAAAATTTTTTAAAAATCAAACAAACATTTACCTCAATTTATCAATCACAATCCAATTAACAAAAATTAAAGTATCAAAATCATCTTCTAACTTTCTCTCACACAAATATTCAAATTTTGAACTCCGACAACAACTATGAAATAATGCAAACCGACCGGTGTCTGTTACCTTTTATATCAAAACAAATCACAAATATATACACACTTAAATGTATCCCCTCTCATATGTCGAGAAGAACCGGTACAGTCAGCATCACTGCACATCAAAACAACATTCAAAAACATTCAATTAATTCAAATTCCGGTCGGTTTGCATTATTTCATAGTTGTTGTCGGAGTTGAAATTTGAATATTTGTGTGAGAGAAAGTTAGAAGATGATTTTGATACTTTAATTTTTGTTAATTGGATTGTGATTGATAAATTGAGGTAAATGTTTGTTTGATTTTTAAAAAATTTTTTTATATATATTTGTTTTTGTAACCATTTTTTCATTTATTGTTAATAAAGATCTGATGAGGTTGGATATCTGCCAACGAAACATACGTGTGTAACCTAATATGAGTGTTTGATTTATTTTTACAATGGGTTGGCTCTCAAAATTGGAATTAATTTTACTTAATAAATGGAGAGTGCTACATATAATACATATAGCTCATAGATAGAACCGTTACAATTCATTACAGACAAAACAAAAGATATCACATAAGCAAGTTGCCAACTAATAAGAACGGCGACACAGCATAATGCCTATTCTCTCTTGTCATACACAATTTTTAAGTAATCGCATTGGCGATGGAGAAAAAAAGAAAGAAGCAGCTATTCTAATTATAAAAGCGGATATGCGATCAATGCGATACTATCGCCGGAGAACCTTCGCCAAGATGGGTGGTGTGCCGGCGCTTCTGTATCCGGCGAATTCTTGCCGGGTTGACATGGAGAGTGGCTGTACCGAATGTATTGGATGATTATTTACAATAATACCTTTTTAGGTACCGGTCGATCCACATCCAGTCTATGCTGGATTTCGGACATTCATAAGGTCCCGTCGAGGTCCTGCCCATTTGTTGCAAGAGCGCGTCACCTCCGCATCCCGCTTGCCTTTGGAATCTTGACAGGTCGGTGTAAACGATCGGGCGCACGCTTTACATTGGCTTGATGTCGCGGGTTTCTGATTCCCGAATTTTCGCTTAAGGAGCTTTTTCTTCAACAGGAGCTCCACGAGTTGGGCTTAGATAGCCTTCAGTTTTTTTTAACTCCCCCTTCTTCTTCGGCCTTCCGCATTTTCACCTTTTTTTTGATGGCGCTGTTGCTAATCTCGTTGTCAGGTGGTGAGCCGAGCACTTGACGTAGCTTAACCTTTAAACGGACAGAATTTGAAGGTTGAAATCACCCTTGAAAAGTGGCTAAATTAATAGGGTAAACCAATCCGACCAGGTAAATGGTAAAGGCAATTTCGTAGTATAAAATTTCATAACATTGCCCGAGTTCGATGAAAATGTGTTCTTTGGAGTTTTCGGGGTTGCTGATCAGAAATCTAAAGTCAGATTTTATAAATTAATACAACTCCATTTCTCCTTCTTTCCTCTCACTCCTTTCTTCCTCTCAAATGGTCATACTTTTAGTAAAACATTTAATTTTATAACTTATAATGGAGATTCAGTCCAGCTTACCTCGTTTAAATAAAAATTTATATTTTATATGGTGACTCCGAGATATATCTACGCTATCTACTGGACGGCGAAAACAGCGAGACCGTCGTGTAAGCTAGAAATCACGAAATCAATGAGTGTTCGAATGAAGGTTATCTTAGTGAGGGAGAGTAGCTATATCAAAAGGATATGATAAATTACACTAGGCTTTAATCATAAACAATTTATAAAAGCAGCGAGAGAGAGAGAGAGAGAGAGAGAGAGAGAGATTAGTTGCGCTCCGATACACAGTGACTACCCGCGACTGGGAAAAAGGCATATAACGAGTGAAGTTTTCTTTGTAATCTTAAATAGTAAGCGAAATAACAACGAGTATCTACTAGTCATCGAACAATATAATCACTTGTATCTAGTATAATGACAAACTATGATCAAGTTTCGTTTAACTACAAACAATAATTCAATAAAAATAAAAAATAAAGTCATTCTGCCAAATACCAACAAAACAATTAAATTAAAAAAAAATCATAAAATCGAAGTACTAAAAACGTTCAATAAATTAGATAAAACTAAGAAAATAAATACAGAAGAACACTAATCTGCTGAAAGATCTTAACATAATGTACGATTAAAAATATTAATTTATTGTATCTTCACATTTTTAAATCTTGTAGAATGTATATACTGAAAAAATTAATAACATTTATGTATATCGCAACATTGTAAACAGGAGATACTAATTCATAAACTGTGAATAATTATGTATCGTACCTCGATGGAAATATTGTTACAATATTTATTTATACAGTCTATAAATAATAATAATAATAACAACAATTATTATTATTATGGTGGTTGCTATTGTTGTTGTTATTGTTATTATTATTATTGTTATTATTATTATTATTATTATTATTTTTTTTTTTTTTATAGTGGTAAAAAAACAGGACAAATCCTCATGGACCATAACGGTTGGAGTGTGACGGCAGTTCACCGAAGCTACCCACCTACACTCTCCCACCCGCCGTGTGACGTGACTCCCTGATCCTCTCAGATCGGGCTGTTTCAAGCGATCTATCAATCGAACGCAAGGAGCCTCCGGGTCATCGAAGACCAGCTGACCGTCCAAATCCCGCTTCCCTTCAACCGGAAGGTAAACCGTCCGGGGAAGAGTAGTAAAGTCCACCTAAACCATTCTCCAGCGGGGAACCGTGTAAGCATTACTTCCCGCTGGAGAACCGCGTCAAGTCTGCTCGTTATCAACGGGTCCTGTATCGTTTCGTTACGTCCGTCTATTCACATTCATCCATTTGTTCATACCATTTACTCTCGCATTTTTACGTCTAACACTCGACTTCCAGGCAACCGTCCGCCTTTTTCCCTCGTAGGATAGTCTCGACGTACGTCGCCGTTACCGTCCAATAGTCTTTGTCTTGCAGCATCTTTGCCACGATGTTGTTGGGCGTGATGCTTCCAAGTGTCGTCTCCAGTCTTTGCCTTTCGTCGTTCCAGTGAGAGCATTCGAAAAATGTATGCTCTGCGTCGTCACATTCGTGTCCGCAGTATTTATTATATTATTATTATTATTATTATTATTATTATTATTATTATTATTATTATTATTATTATTATTATTATTATTATTATTATTATTATTATTATTATTATTATTATTATTATTATTATTATTATTATTATTAACTATATTTTACATAGTAAAAATTAATCAAAAAGAGTCCATTTAATGATTGTAGTTGACACTATAATTGCTTTACATTCGTTGTTCTTGGTACAGATGTTTGATATTCAAAACTTATATTTACTTTAATATATTATTATGAAAAATTAACTTGTGATAAAAGTATAAAATATACTAATATTTACGATGTACAATTTTATACAACTATTATCTTTTTAAAAAAATGAAGGTGAGATACATGAAATTCATAGTATTTTTTACTTGAAAATTCTCATGAATGATCCTACGTCGTAAAACAACTGATTAGAAGTATTGTCTACTTTCATCAATTAATTTACTTAATTCAGCCGCAGAATAACCTAGCAATTGTTTAAGATCACAGACGAACTTATATACAAAACGTTTTCCTTGTACTTTAGAAATCATATCACCATCATAATAATAACGTAAAGCTCGGCTAAGTTTTTCATAATTCATTGATGGCTTATTTTTTCTTGCTCCCCACAACTGTGCAACCGCTTCAGGTTGATTTAATTTGAATTCTCCTTCAGTTCCAATCCATTGAATAGCACTTTTCTGCTCTCGGTCAGTTAATAATTCTAATAAAAATTGCCAAAGCTGTATTTGGCCACTATTTACTGATTTGCTTGTTGTACTTAGCGCAAGAGATGTAGATTCAAGATTTGCTAGTGGCATACTGAGAATTCGACTTGAATGAGTAGTTATCGCTCGAGGCTTACTGGTTCTTGGCAATTTAGGTTTCACATTTTTATCAATTTTGTTGTTATTTATTTGTGAGTGACATTCTTTTTGTACAACAGCTTGTAAAATTTAATTAATTAAATATTGTTTTTTACTAATAATTTAATAAGAGGAAACAAATGAAAATTGGAAAGTTAACTTACCGACAAACTTACATTTTCTCAATAATTCTAAATGTGTCCAAAACACATCTCCTGGATCAAGAGGTACTTTCATTTGAAATTCTTCAAGAGTTAAATTACAAAGTTGAAGACCTGTTATATTCCAATCAGCAAGCTTTAAAGAAACAAGATTAAATTGTCTAACTGCCCATTGAAGCCAATGTTTTACATGCGTTTGTGTCCACTCTTTTGGATCAGTAGGGATTTTCAAGCGTTCCTATAATGTAACATAAAGTTTTAATTGTAACAGTTTTTTATATTTATATTGGCTTGATACTTTTTTGAATATTAAAATGAAAAAATTAATAAATAATTTATTTAATTTTTTTTATTTTATTAATATTATAACGGCCGGGGCCATTTTCGCGGAAGATTGTCCGCGCGCGAGGCCGAGCATGGCCAAGCGGGCAAGCGAGCGAGGAGTGAAGAGAGAGAGAGACAGAACGAGACTCGATCAGGCGCGTGCCGTAGCGGTAGAGTGGGGAGAGAAAACGATTTTTGGAGGACTTGGACTTAGACCGGCGAGCTGGAAGGATTGTCACGTGCGCGTACGACCGAAAGAAAAAGGAGAGCGACCAGCAAGATAAAAAAGTGAAAGTGCGCAAGGAAGTAGAGACCATCCCCGAGGATCGCCGGAACCTGTAGATCGTCATCTCGAGTGGGCGATTACCAGGAGCAGTTTGCCCGCCCGAGCAAGGGCGATAACGCGGGCGACTAGCGAGGGGTAGTCTGTCTGCAGCAGCTACTTCACGGTGAGTTTCGTTGCGTTTGTAAGCGATTATTTACCGTGTGATAGTTGCGCGAGCGAGCGTCTCTATCTCTAAAATAGGACACAAAGCAAAATCTCGGTATGCGATATTGTGTATAAAATTTGCCTAAAGGAATAAAGCCCGATTTGACCTACACTAGTGTTGTCGTTGTGTTGGGCGTACCCAGGAAGGCACCTCTGTCCCTTCCCACGCCCGTGATTAGAACTCACGCACGCTCTCGTGCTTAGCCGTGCTTTCGTGATCCCTTTTCAGGGCAGCGCGTGCTCGCCCGTATTCGGCGGAACGCCAGGAAGCGGCTAGCTGATCGGGGCGGCGGTGAGCCCCGCACCGACCAGTGAAAATAAAATCCTTAACGGGCCGCGAGAATAATTTGATTATTTTCCGGGCCGTTACAATATAATTTATTAATTATTATATATTATTATTAATAATATTATTATTAATAATTAATAATAATATTAATGATTTATTTAATTTTTTTAATTATTACTTTTGATAGGTAATTTTTCTTGTACTTTATAAATCAAATCTTATTTATAAAGGCACTTAGTTCTCTACTAAAGTGTGGGGTTATTGCCAAGAAGCATTCGTGCTACAAGCATATCTAGTATGAAATTCTCCAACCCAATGTCATAGATTTCAATAATATTTTCATATGAAGTACTCAGATGTGACGAGAGCAGGCCGTGTGCCGGTTTCTCGTTTGTGTTTCTCCCTCCTCCATTCGGCAAGGCGTGGTGGCCAACGTTGGGCGCATTAAAGTATGCGCCTAACACTTGGCCTTTTTGTTTTAGCGCCGAGGACGGGCCAGCGCAATTGAGCGCAGAAAATTGAAGAGCGCGGAGAGAATGAGAAATAAAGAGAGAGAGAGAGCGAACATTAGGCCTATGCAGGGATAGGCAGGCGCGCGACGCGTGACTGATAAGCGACGCGTTGCGTGCCGCCTAACTAATAGGTCAGGTAGGAGAGGAGCGAGCGCCGCTGAGCGGCCGCTAGACGAGCGCGAGAAAATGTGCGTGCGCGAGGCTAGTATAGTAGTGAGAGAGTGCAGAGAGTGCAGTTTTTTTGGGGATAGCTGAAAGGAAAGACAACTACATCGGCAACAGCTTTGTTTGCGTCCACAGCCAGCCTAGCTGAAAGGAAAGCCAACTCCACCGGCAACAGATTTGTCTGCGACCACAGCCAGCCCCACCTGCAAGGAAAGCCAACATCGCCTACAGATACATTGGCTGCTGATACTTGGCCAGCAATAACAGCCAACATCCAGCAGCAATTTGATCAGCAGCGACGACTGGTACTTCTCGCGGCAGCACGTCGCTCGAAATTCACGAAGTTGCGAGGACCCTTGGAAAAAAGGTCAAGCTTTCTTTCTTAATCTCCTTCTCTCTCTCTCTCTCTCTGGTAAGGGTTATAAGTGTGCGATTGAACAAAGGTAGGTAGGCGCTCACGCGCCAGTCACCTAAGGTTTGCGTCTAATCGTAATCGCGTCATTGAGGTGGTAAGCGAGCGTCGGTATTGTCTAGGCATTTATTTGCCAGAGAATACCGGGGATTTCTTTTATATTAGTAATAAGAATGTACATCCGTGTGTAAATAGTTAGACATAGGTTTTCTTTGTCTAGCGAGTTTATTAAGGGAACGAGTCAACGGCGTAGGTGCATAAGTTTAGGATATTTCTGTATTCGATGCTAAGTGTTTATTGATTAAAGTAATGTTGTTTTTTAGTTGTGCGTATTGTTTAGCTAATATTGTATTTTTAGTTATTTTTAATAATAAGACTACTAGTTCGTTTAGATACAGGTGTTGCGTACTAATAAATTTATTTATGACCTGTCCTCTCTTTTCTCCCTCAATTATCATGAGCGAAAGTGCCTCACTTACCCTGCAAAAGAATTGGTGACAAGGAGAAAATTTTGTCACACAGAAAAATAAGAGATACGAATATTTTTCAGCGACATCCAGTTTTAAGAATAGAAAACCATCCTTAAATATTACCCATAAAATTTGGCAAAAAAAAAAGTGCTCTTCCACCATGAACGCACCGGCTCACATCTCCGCCGTTGCCATGGCCAAATTGGTCGAATTAGGCTACGAACTGCTGCCCCATCCACCGTATTCTCCAGATCTAGCCCCGTGCGACTTCTTTTTGTTTCCAAACTTGAAAAAGTCACTCGCCGGGCAGAAATTTGAGTCGAATGAGGAGATATCGCTGCCACGGAAGCGTACTTTTCAGACCTCGAGAAAACGTATTTTTCAGACGGGTTAAAGAAGTTGGAGCATCGCTGGGCCAAGTGTATCGAACTAAAAGGAGACTATGTTGAAAAATAAAACGACACTTTGCAAAATTTTCGTTTTTCTTTTGTAGGCTAAGTACTTATCGGACCACCCTCGTAGTAATGTAACCACGGAGAGGGGAGGTTTCGATAATAGTAAAGCCCAGGACCATGATTCGGCCGAAGTGGTGGAGAGAAAAATGTTCACGTCCTCAGAGTTATTGGTAACGACAGATAACACGTCAACCTGGATTCTCGAAGGACCTCTGATGGTAAGAAGCGACTCAATCCAACTCGATGACGTCGGCGCACTACCCCACGAGAGCGTGATAGCCAGCGCTACGGTACACCACGAGCAAACCGACGAAACTCGAAAATTGATTTTAGAGTACTCCCCAGAGGAAGAAACGCGTTGGTGGCTACCGGTACAAATAGGTGACTTCTAAATTAGAGGTCTCTATGATTTGGGGGCCTCAGCCACAGCGATTGGAAGTAATGCTCTTCGAATGGCTTCAATATTAGATGTAAGACTGAATATTATCTACACGGGTACGGCTGGTTTGCCAGACGGCCGAAACTTGCCGATTGTCGGCCATGTAATGTTGCCATTCACTGTAGGTGGCATGATGATACTGTCGAGACTGGCTACACTCCCAACCCTCATCAATGAATATATTTTAGGAGTAAATTTCATGAGATCATTTAGAACACTCCTAAATCTTGACGAAGATACACTGCTGCTTAAAAACTCGTAAACCAGAATGAAATTGGAAGTGGCTAACTTGGAAACTGGTCCGAGATTGACGACCGTAGGATTTGCCGAAGTAACGGCAGCACAGCAGACAATATTACAAGAAACTATTGACGAGGCGGTATCCCAGACCCCCATGGATCTGCGATGTGCTGCAGGGATCGAACGCGAGACTCGTGTTGGCGATACAAAGTCGATCAAACAGCGCTACTACCCAGTATCGCATAAGGTTGAGCAAAAGATGTATAAAATGGTAAGGGAAATATAAGTCCAGAGAGTCCTCGAGCCGGCTAACAGTGGTTGGTCAAACCCGGTGATAATGATACACAAGTAGGATGGTTCATATCACTTTTGTATCGACTTTCGAAAGGTCAATAAAGTCACCGAGCCAAATACCTACCCCTTACCGTTTCTGCAAGATATATTGAGACGCTTGCGAAATGCCCGTTATATCTCCACCCTCGACTTTAGTAGCGCCTATCACCAACTGCGGCTTAAACTCAAATCTCGAGCTACCACCGCCTTTACCATGTCAGGGCTGGGGCACTTTCAGTTCGTGCGGATGCCTTTTGGCCTCTCGTACGCAGGTGCCACCTTCTAACCGTTGACAGATAGCGTCCATCTCATGCGAGCTCGGAAACCGCGATGGTATAATTGTGCACATCCGCAGACAACCGATCGTTTCACGCACGTGGCAGCGAACAAAATGGCGGCGCCCGTACTTGCCAAATTCTAGTAATTATCACCGTTGCGCAAGCGTCAATTTATAAACGAAACGTTTATAAATAAATGATACCGCTTTGATAATAAAGGACGACTCATGTTAGTCATTGACTGATCCTTCAGAAGCGCCCATTTCCATCTCATATTCGTATGTTCGTTTCTGTCATACGCCTTCGTGCTTTCGCATCCATTTTCATCTAGCTGAATTTAGCTATATTTCCGAGCCAGGCTGAGACTGCCCAGAAAAAGTAACGGTAGCAATTAACGGGAATTGTGCCCGGAAGCAAGGGCACACCCCCAAGGTAAGCTCACGGTGCATAGGATTCGACGCAGAGGAAGCGTTTGCGGTTACCCGCGGAGGCAAGCCTCGGTAAACTTGCAGAGCGCTGCTATAATGTGCGCCATTGCGCACGGCGTGGCGACGCTCGCGCACCTCGCTTTTAGCCCTGCGCACACAAAGAGGCGTGCACGCAAACCTATGTACCGAGTAATCTGTTAAACATCCAACCCATACAAACTTAATATTTTTTAACTAAATATTTTAAATATTACTGATAGGGATGAAAAATGTCGATTTGTTGACAAGATTTTATCTATTTTTAAATATAAATAAATAATTTATTTATAGAAAATTTTATAAAAAATGACTTTAAAAATTAATTTTGAGCAAAAAAATCTGAAAAATGTACATGTTACACACA